CAGTGATGTATTACAACGAAGAAGAAGGATAAGTATTCTTTACAGTGGAGGGAGAGAGAGAGAGAGAGAGAGAGAGAGAGAGAGAGGATGGTGGGTAGGGTTAAATCCTTTTTTTTTAAAGTTAAAAATACTATTTGAATAATTATAAAATAAACAAGAAAGAGAATGAAAGGGCATTACCGTCTTTTCAAGTTTTTTTGGACTAAAATCACAGAAATTTCTTCATTTTGAACCTTCCATGCAAGTTGAAAACGTTTTGAACCCTATCCAAAGTTTTTTGAAAACCACAAGGACCAATTTTTGCAGTTTTGTCATATATATATATATATATATATATATATATATATATATATATAAAAGTTCAAATGAGAACAGTAAATAGTGTGAAAACGTAAAAACACTATGTTTATGTTATTATTTTGCAATGAATGTTGTATATGTGTATTTTTGAAGTAATTCTAATGTGAATATTAACGTTTGATTATCATATATTCATTAGAATGTTATTATTCTATTATAAATTTTGTGTATATTTATTATTGTACTAAATTCTTATATTAGTTTTAACTTGTGATTATTAATTTATTCAATATTGAATAATGACATAAAGTTGAGGATACAAAATTCGTTGCAGAATATATATATATATATATATATATATATATATATATATATATATATATATATATATATATATAGAAAAATGCTATAAAGTCCTTACATATTGGCCTCATAATCGATTTAGTCCATATATCTTTTTTTATTCAATTAAGTCCCAAAAACTGGTAATCATATTCAATTTAACCCTTTTACCCGGATAACAGGTCAGTCAACTTTCAAAAATTACATTTGTGGCCCAGTTTTCAAAATTTATTACAAATTTGGTCCAAAATTTACACTTTTGGCCCATATTAGAAATTTTATTAAAAAATTGGTCCAAAATTTATCCTTTTGGCATAAATTTTAGGATTTTGTTATGAATTCATCCTAAATTTAGTTGTTTATATAACTTTTTTTCTCAAAATTTTGTTTCGAATATGGTTTTTTTTTTTATATAAAATCATATTTATACAAAAATATATATATATTTTTTCACATAAAAAATCTTATATTTTCTATATTAAAACTCTTTTTAAAAAACGTTTTTGTATACGAAATATCTATTTATAAATATAGGTATTTATTAAGTACATAAATATATACAAATATTTTTTATAAAAAAATGTATACAAACACGTATTTTACAAAAAAAAAATTGTATACAAACACCTGTTTTATTATAAATATATTTGTATGAAAACACACACACACACACATACACACACACACACACACACACACATATATATATATAGATATATATATATATATATATATATATATATATATATATATATATATATATATATATATATAGCTGTCTACCCACACAATGCAACGGGCGACGAATAGTTTATTTCGGGAATTAATTATATTCGAAAACGTAATATATTTCAAGGAGCACAAATCAAATACATATTGCTATTGGTCGGACTTTGATTGGTTTTAGTTTGACAATTAGTATGTTGATGTTTTAGGTTAAAAAACAACTATGTTAATGTTTTAGCTAAACAAATTATTTTCATTTTTTAGCTAATCAAATTTGTGTTGATTTTTTTATGCGTAAAACAATGAGCACAAACCCCATATAATTTCTTCATGTTTTTATTTTTAGTTGGTTCACTAAATATTTGTAATTGAAGACTTCCATATAACATCAAATGCATGATTTTCTTCACGGAGTAAGTTTACTTGAACACTTATGTAGAAGATAGTAATGTAATGCGATTAACCAACATTCTTATAAAAAAACATGTTGTACTCATGACATTTCAAAAACATTTGTGGCTCCTTCGTCTTAGTCTTTTTAGTATCACAAAAAAAACTTGTTAACTTATAATAAAGAAATCACAGTTTAGTGTTGTAAAATTAATATATTAGTTTGTTGCTTTCATGTATAACATTTGAAGTTGATAATCACCTCATCAATTCCGTATACAAAAAAGTTTTTTTTTTTTTTTTAAATTTTATAGAAAATATAAGATTTTTTATGTGAAAATATGTTTTTTTTTTGTATAAATGATTTTATAAAGAAAAAAACATATTCGAAACAAAATTTTGAGAAAAAAATTTGTATAAAAAACTAAATTTGGGATGAATTCATAACAAAATTCTAAAATTTGGGCCAAAAAGGTAAATTTAGGACCAAATTTGTAATAAATTTTAAAATATGGGCCAAAAGTGTAAATTTTGGACCAAATTTGTAAACCTTTTTGAAATCTGGGCCAAATATGTAATTTTTGAAAGTTGAATGACCTGTTGACCGGGTAAAAGGGTTAAATTGAATACGATTACCGGTTTTTGGGACTTAATTGAATAAAAAAAGATATAGAACTAAATCGATTATGACGGCAATATGTAAGGACTTTATTGCAGTATTAACTTTTTATTATGTTAACAATGTTAACGTTTACCAGCTAAAAAGAATTATATTTTCTTTTTTCACTGTGACAAACTACTAGAGAACATGAGGAAACCGGAGAGCAATGGTATTGAAGAACATGAGAGCAAGTGTAGGAGTCATTTAAAGTCTTATATATATATATATATATATATATATATATATATATATATATATATATATATATATATATATATATATAGGGCCGACCCAATACATGGGCGAGTTGGGCTATGGCCCAGGGCAGCAAAATCATAGGGGCATCAATTTGGTCTAATTCTTATACTGTATATATAACTTTAGCCCAAAGTTTAATCCAATGAATAGTCCAACAGTGATAACCAGCGTTTAAGGTAGCGTTGAGGAATGTGGAGGACTGAGGAAACAGATCGTCATCTCAAGTGTGGGCGCGAAGCACCTTGAGAAACCAATCGAACTTCTAGGAAAACGCATTGCTGAGATCGAGGATCACATAGCCTTTAATCGACTTACGTCTGAAATGAGTAAGTTTTCATCATTCTTAATTTCTCATTATAATTTCCCCACATCTCTCTAACTCTCTTAAACCTACTTGCTACTAAATATTGGCGAATTTCTTTACTTCTCATTCTAATCTCAGATTTCTCTACTGTAAGATTTATTGTATTGTGATTTATGAAACATAAATTAATAGTCACCGAAAATCTGAAGACTTTTGGTGTATTGGATTTCTAGATAGGTTTTGGTTGAGTTTTCTTTTTGAGCTTAATAATTTCTGTTTTAATCTCTCTTATTCTCTACTTTTCATTCTAATTTATGAGTTTTGACTTCTGATTCTTGTATTATTGAATAATACTGAGTTTTTTATATGATTTCTGCATCACAGGTCATCGAAAATCAGAAGAAGTTTGAGGTTTCCGATTTCTAATTTGGGGCCAGGTGAGTTCTATTTATGAATTCTCATATCTCCTATTATATTTGATTTTCTCTTATTTTCTGCTTCTCATTCCAATTTCTTAGTTCTAACCTATTTCCATTTTCTCTTATTACTGAGTTAGTTCTCATACTACTGAGTTCTCGTATCTCTTTTTACTGAGTTTGTTTTTTATGTGATTTCTGAATAACAAATCACCAAAAATAAGAAGTTTGATGTTTTGGATTTCTAAATCGGGTTTGGGTTAGTTTGATTTCTGAATTCTGATATCTCCTTTATGTTTTTTTTTTTCTCATTGCAATTTCTAATTTATGTTCTATGTTTTTGTTTGTTGGTTTCAAGTGTTGGTTTGTTCGATTTCTTTTATGTTAGCTTTAGATTATTCTGACTTTTTAGAGGGAAGAAGGCATAAATGTATTTGGTTGTTATTATGTAGTAGTTTTTTGAAATGAACTTGTATTTCAGATTCTATGATTTATTTTTCAGATCTTTTGACATCTTGAAGTGGAAACAAAACATAAACTTTGTTCATGTTGGATATTTCTTTACTTAGCTTTTATAACTTTATTTGTTGATTTTAAAATATATTTAATCTAAAACAACTGTCAGGCGCTCGAAAAAAAATGAAAAAAAACAAGAAAGTTTGAACAAATGCAATTTTTTGAATCTTTATTTGGTTTTTTGTTTAATGGTTCCAAATTAGTTTTTTTAGTTGAAGATTAATTAAAAAAATGTTGTCTAAATATTGAGTTCAATTCGACAAATGACGAAGAATATGATATTGATGGAATTAGTTTATTTATTAAGTTACAAATTTCGTAGAAAATGTTTTCGGGTGAAGCATACAAATTGACTGAAATATCAATTTTATGTAGCGAAAATGATTTTTTCACAAAATATTGATTATTGTAGAATATGAGATGTTTTGGTTTCAAAAAAATGTACGAATACGTTGTTTTAGGTGATTTATGTAGGTTTTTGTTTGGATGAATTGTTTGATTATAAAGTTTATGACATTTTTGATCTATACAATTTTTATTTATAAGTTTTCTCTATGATACGCTACATATATAAGGGCATAAAATTTTCATCTCGTCCCAGGTAGCAAAAAACAATGGACCGGCCCTGTATATATAGAAGAAAAAAAAAGTTGCAATAAGTAATAGTTTAATACATTCCTATAATTTTTTTACAACAATACCTAATTACCTGTTAATGACGCACTGTGTGCTTTTAATTAGTAGTTCATATCAATAAACTTTTATGTTTTGAATCCTATTGATCATTGAACGTGTGATCGACACAATTTGGACGATTGCTGGCATATTCTTTTTTGCTTTATAATGTATAGTAAAATATAGTAAAATGTATGCCACTTAAAATCTTAAATAGAAGTAAATACGGTTGTACTGTACGTGGCCCGTTTACTTTGTGGACCAGTATTTTTTTTTTTTTTTTTATCTAAAACAAACAACAAAGGTCTTGTTTAATTATTTTCATATTTTTTGAATTTTTTTATATTGTATGTCTTTTCTTATTTATTAAATCGGAAATCATGCTTATAAAAGGGAATACCAACATCAAAATCAGAATTCCAAAGCATTGCCCCAAATCTCACAATGGGAACTCTCTACCAATACCCTATCAAATCTTCCACTCCTAAAATCATTCATGACCTCAAAGTCATCATTCATGACACCATCACTATCTTCCCTTCTCACGAGACAGAAAAACGGTCGATGTTCTTGTCGAACATCGACCAAGTTCTTAATTTTAACGTGGAAACCGTCCATTTTTTCGTGGGGGACCCTCAGTTTCCGTCACAAGTAGTAGCAGAAAAGCTTAAATCTGCACTGAGTGAGGCATTGGTTGTGTACGATTTCTTAGCAGGAAGGTTGAGGTTGAATCTTGATGCACAACGTTTTGAGTTTGATTGCAATGGAGTCGGGGCTCGGTTTGTAGTGGGTTCGAGTGAGTTCGAGTTGCATGAAATCGGTGACTTGGTGTACCCGAACCCTGGATTCAGACAATTGGTTCAAAAGAGCTATGATGATTTGGCAATACATGATCGACCACTTTGCATTATTCAGGTATATTTTATATACATGATTTAATTCTATAAATGCTTACAAAATTTAGTGCAACATCATATATCAAATAATTTTGTCCCACAAAAAATCATTACCACTTCGTAGATGTTGTAGTTTTCGCGATGAGCTTATATACGTGTAGAACAAATACGATCCGTCTTAGTTCTTAATAATCTACTTAGTTTTATGATGATAAAATGTAGTATAATAATGTGAAAATGGAACTGTATTAAGTGGAATAAGAGGATAAATCTAATGGTTAGTGATAAAACTACATAGAAAATACCAGAAAAGGAGAAATACTAATAATCTATATCGCGATGTTGATACATGTTATGGTTTGTAACATCAATGCATATATATGGTTTGTAATATGAACAAAACCATGTAATGGTATATGTATACCCAGATTTGGAAAATAGAATTATGGAATATATGATGTTAACACATGATGATGCCAACGTAAACCAAACTCAATTATCAAAAGAATTGCAAATTAAACAAGATGAAAAGTATTAATTTATATATTTAATACAGCATTGGAGTATAGAAATGCATAACTATGAGTAATGATATTAATCTTTTTTAACATAATCATGTGATTTTTAGACTTCTATATACGCATTACACGATATTTAATATGTTTAAAAACTATATCATTACAATAATCATCTTATTTCTTAAATAAAACAACTTAAAGTAACTGTACATATAAAAACATTTTTTAAATTGACTTCTGACCCATTAAAAATAAAGTATAACATACACCCATAAATAAATCAACGTGATATGTTCAAAAACCTTTTTATAACCTTTTTACTCTAATATTAAATATTGTACTTGGCATATGCATGTGAAGGTGCCGAAAAAAAAGCCTAGTAACTTAATTCGGGCAGGTAGCCATTGCGCATTGGTCAAGTCTTATTTATGACACCGAACGCTACGGTTATTTACCTTCTCATGGTGATCATTATTAGTTCACCAATATCCATCACTACCCTAAACTTTCTCCAACAAAATATAATGTTATAAATTTATAACTTAATGAGAGCTCAAGGATTTGTAATCCAACGGTATCATCTCTATTGGAAAATATTCTCATTTCTTAAATGGTTGAGGGTTCAAGTTTTATTGTAGACAAAAAAAAATATAGAATTATGACTAGGATTAGTAGGTATGTTTGTTTGTAGTTCTAAAAAAACGATAAGTAAAACTATGAACAAGTTAATTTTTATTTTCTATAACAGAGTTTTTTGTTTAGTTAATAAAACAATCAAATTTGCCCTTTTATGTAACAGAGTTTTTTGTTTAGTTATAAAACACAAGATTAGATATGTAACTTTGACTCATTTACTTGTGAGCTACAACAAAGTCAACAGATCCAAGTCCTAGATTGTCAGCTACAACTCATTTACTTGGTCAGTGATATAGAGAGATGTAAATTTCAACAATCATGCATCCATCTAGAGTAAAGCGGTTGCGTCACAAAAAAAACCTCATACATTAGCAAAACAACAACCACTAACCAGCAATTATGAAATAAACAAGAGGGGGTACACCAAGATGAACAGTAAGACAACAACATAGATAATACAAAATATAAGCATACAAATCTGAAAACTTCAAAATAGTTTTCTCATTTATCTACAAAATATGGAATTTTGATATTAAAGATGTGAAAATGACAGGTTGAATAGCAAATGATAAATAATAAAAGATTTTGGTCCATGTCTCGGGATCTATTAATAATTGGCTGTCTATTTTGTTCTTGGTGTTTTAGAACAAATCGTATAATAAAAGGTATTTGGATACGAGTTACAAAATAGAACCTCAAAAATCAAAATCAAACATTTATTTGCACAAAGTTAAAGTTGGTTGGAACATTTTATATTTATGCTCAATAATATATATTTTTTTCGTACACCAGTTTTTTACCTTATCGAGGCTTCGTTACTTTAACTCTAAAAACATCATAATATCACACTAATATTTGTCTAACACATACGAACACTTAAAAGTTCTTCCAAAAACTATATATAATTAGATAGGGTTTATGCGGCTAATAAGACATCGCTTACACATCCCATTGAAACCTTTATAAAAAGTCAGTCTATAATTAACTACATATAATCAGTTTTTTCGAAAAACAATACAATTTCAACCAATAAAAATATTTGAAAATTTAATTAGGATGTTTATATAGTAAAATGAAGTGTTTTTTAACCAACCTCAATCAGATAATATTCAAGTTTGCTTATGAACCGTAGTCTAGACTCTAGACTCTAAATATCATCAATCTTAGTGTTATTGTACTAAGATTTGTCACATTGCATCAAAAATTTATCATTTAGACGACATCGGTTCACGTTTGTCATAATATTTTTCTTTTCTAAAATAATTACAAAAATAAACATTTTAAACAAATTATTTTATAAAAATAAAATTTCATTAAATTAAAAAGGAAATTACTAACACACATAAAAAAAATACAACATAGAAATTAATCTTACAAATTCTATAAATTTAAATAATGAAACCTAGATAGTATATTTTTTTTCTTAACCTCTTCTTTGGCCTTTAACGCCATTTTTTTTTTCACTTCCGGTGAAATTGCTAGTGTTTTTTGTTAATATCGTCATGTCATGGTTTTTTTTCCTTCTCTTGTGTGACAACCAAGTATTGCTCAAACGCCGATTTTAAGTTGTCCATTTTGTTTGTTAGATGCTCGATGTCACCCGAACCACTTGTTGTCGTTTTTTCCTTTCACTTAGCTTGGTTTCTTTTTATGGGACGAGTGACTCTTGGAACCTCAGTAGGCTATTCTTCATTGAGGTCAATCCCAACATGCGCATCGGACGATTGACTATGCGTTGTTTCGAAAGTTTTGGTTATTTTAGAAGAGCCACCAGTGAACGTTTCCGAACTTTCGATATCTTGCTGCTTTATTGACATCTTCACAATATTCCAAGCATGAAGAAATATGAAGGTTGTCCATTTCTTATTCCGGTAAACTACAAGAGCATTTTGCAAGATTGTTTCATAATTTGCATCATTTTGTCATTGTCGTTTCACAGTCGAAATACCGCATTAAACTCAATCACAACTTTGTTGATGTTTCTCCACTTTCAGTAAATTTGACACTTTTTGTAGTCTCCAGGATTCATTTCCGCAAGAAAATGCCTACTAATTTTCCGAAAAAAAAGTAGGCGAATTTTGGTTTTTCTTGACCCTCGGATCTTCCGAAACATCTACCCGTGCACGAGCCGACACCGTGTTTTCCTCTTTTGTCCATTCCTTGGGGGGTGCCTTTCCTATTATCTTGGGTTCCAACCGAATTGCTTACGGCTCGGAATCCGTTTCGGGTACGACTTCAGGTTGTGATTTAGTTTGGAATTGGGTTTACGTTTGGGATTGGAATTGGAATGACAGGTCGAGATAGGGCCGGTTCAAACCGATTGAGGCCCGAGCAAAATAAAAAAATAGGCCCTTAACAGTAGTTTTTTAAGTAAAAAGATAATTAATTGGTTAGATTCCTAACGAATCGGTTGTAATTTCTTCACCATCTACACCAATTTTGGCTTCAATCTCGTTTTTCCTTTTTTTGCTGTAGTTTGCGACGACTTAATGTCAAACGTTTTTTTTTTCTAATAATAATATAAGTAGATACTTAAAAAATGGGCCTTAGAACTTGGAGGCCCTGAACCATCGTTCATGCTGCTGTTACAACCCTGAGTCGGGAAGATGGTCAAATAGATTGAAGTCATTTTCCATTTGCGATTGGACTTGAGATTGAAATTGCATTTGAGGCTAGGAATGAGATTGAGGTTAAAATTATGGTTGAGTTTGGAATTGTGGTTGAGTTTGGAATTGTGATTGGTTTTGGATAGGATATGGGTAGTATACACGGGGATAGTGGAAATTAGGAGATGAATAAATAGGGCGATCACTTTGATTTTGGATGAAGGTAGGTGATGAAGATGAAATTAGGTTTGTGTTTTAGGTGTTTTATTTGCTAGTTTTTTGGAGTTTTTTGGGTTGGAAAGGAAACAATTTTTTCACAAATATGAGGACTTTTTAATTGAAAAATAGAAAAATATAATGTGGTATAAAATGTGGTAGTGAGTGGTATTTATATGGTTAAAAAGAAATGCTAAATTTTGATTTTTTTTTAAAATTTTTTTGTCAAAAAATGGCTAAAAAACAAATAGTCTTTGTAAAAGGTAAATGGATCTCTCTCTCTCTCTCTCTCTCATCGACTAGATATTACCGAGTTTGGCCACCAAACTCGGCATGCCGAGTTTGTGGCCCGATGTTCACCAAGTCCATGTTGGTTTTTGCCGAGGCTCACCGAGGCCGTTCCGCTAGTCTTATACATTGATCATGTCAAAACGGACGTCGAATTTTAGTCTGTATCTTGTGGAAACACGTTTATTGTGGCTTAATGTTATTAAAATAACGTCTTTTTATACCATACAATTAGAATATTCGTGTTTTGGGCATTTGGATCGGACTGTTTTGGGTATTTTTAGATATATCTGAATTTGATACTATACTATACTTCAAATTCAGCATGTTTGATTTTAATTTATTTCCCTTTGTTAAGAAAATAGCATGAGAATTGTGAAAGCTTGGTGAATAGTGATAGATTAAGAATGTTTATTCTTCAGTTAAATAATTTTTTACATACTATACTATACTTCAAATTCAGCATGTTTGATTTTTAATATTTTTTTGCTCTTGTTGCAGTATGTATGATACGAAGGGATATCACCTTTTTTGTCTTTCAATTTCTTTAATAGTTTTTTAAAATTTGTTCATGACAAAAGGAAACCGCTTAGACGGCTGATATGAAGAAAGAAAACCGACTGTTTCCTTTTAAAAATAATTCGAAGTGACTATCCTACCCGTTAATAACCATATTATTATATTAAATAGGGTATTGATTTACAATTATCTACGATTTTGCCATTTTAACAAATTAGCTGTTGATTAATACATAATTTACCTGTAAAACACAATAAGCTTAAGATTGTTCTATGTTGTCCTGTTAGACTTGTCGGGTATTCAACTTTTAGATTCTACTATTTTGACTTTCTAAATTCGTAATTATGATATTTGAACACATCAAAACCATTTTAACTTTGAGTCGCAATAATCTTTTCAAAAACATCTAAATGATTGCAAAACCAGTTTTAGATTCAATCTGTTTTTAGTAAACCAGTTGATATATGAAGTTTGAGTATGGTAGTGTTTTTACAGTTAACATCCTTCAAATGTGGTGGTTTTGCAATTGGTGTGGCAACAAACCATGCTACTTTTGATGGCATAAGCTTCAAAACCTTCCTCCAAAACTTAGCTTCTTTGGCTGCTGATAAACCCCTCGCCACCACTCCCTGCAACGATCGCCGCCTCCTGGCAGCAAGATCGCCACCGCAGATCCAATTCGACCACCCCGAACTGTTCAAGATCCCAACCGGAATCGATCTCCCAAGCCCTACAGTTTTCGACACCCCAGAAGGTGAACTCGACTTCAAGATATTCAATCTGACCTCAAACGACATAGCCTACCTCAAGCAGAAGGCCAAAGATGAACCCTTTTCAACCAACGCGAAAATCACAGGGTTCAATGTGGTTGCCGCCCATGTTTGGCGGTGCAAAGCCTTGTCCTCCGGCACCAATTACGACCCAGAGAGGGTTTCCACGGTTCTGTACGCCGTAGACGTCCGGTCCCGGTTGGGTCTGCCGCCGTCATACGCCGGCAACGCTGTTCTGAGCGCGTATGCATCTGCGCGATGCAAGGAGATTGAAGAAGGTCCGCTGTCGAAGCTGGTGGAGATGGTGACTGAAGGTACTAAACGGATGACGGGTGAATATGCACAATCTGTGATTGATTGGGGAGAAGTGAACAAAGGGTTTCCGAATGGTGAGTTTCTGATTTCGTCTTGGTGGCGATTAGGATTTGCAGACGTGGAGTATCCATGGGGAAAACCAAGGTACAGTTGTCCGGTGGTTTATCACCGGAAAGATATAATATTACTATTTCCGGACATCATCGGAGAGAGCAACAATGAAGTCAACGTCTTGGTGGCTTTGCCTGGGAAAGAAATGGAAAAATTTGAGGCCCTATTTCACAAGTTCTTGGCATGATCATTGAAGTCTTTAAAAAGTACCTTGGTTAATTTGGTTTTGAAGCATATATGATATATGTATACACACAATAAATGTAATGTAAGTATGTAACTGAAGTACTTGAATTTGTAATGTATTTCGACATATATGAATATAGCTATAATAAGTTGTCTAAACTATATTAAAATATCATTTTGTATGGATCCTGTTACAGATTTGACCATATATAGCGAATATCATGAAAATGAATGAAGAGCTACAAGAACATATTCACCTGAACTTGCAAAACCCGCCAATTCATCTTCCATCCTTATTTGGTTGTAAGTTGTTTCATTCTACTTTGTGCAATCTTTATCCTAATTAAAGCTCATTTGTAAACATAGGCTATGATAATCATGAACTAAATTTAAAAAGCATTGAACCAAACATTCCTTGAACAGTTCGTAAAGTGTCCAATTGAAATTTGAAAGTTCCGTTTATATTTGTTTATTTAAAAAATATAAAGTGACATAAAAGTTGTTATCTTTTACTTGTACCCTCCTTCCTCTTATTTTATGACACATAAGATATCCATTTTCTTGATTTTTTTTTTCTATTTTTGACAATTTACCCGGTAAGTAGACGGTAAACAGTCACCTCCCGACCACAACGAATGTGAAAATGACAAAAAAAAATCACTAAACCTTAGTTTCCTTTTTGTTTTCGTCACTTTTAAAATTTTTTATTTGCACAATGCATTTATCTTCGCGAGTTATTTTCCAATGTTGACCACATAACAAGCTATACCTCGTTTTGTCGGTTGTTATGATCCTAATGTGGCTTTTTTCTTATGCGGTTGCCAACATGGATAGTGATGTGGCACTCCAATATCTTTTTAGGTTAAGTAGATTGCTCATTGCAACAGAATAATGACAGTGAATACCAAAACAAATCAATTGAACTCTATTTCTCTTTACAAAGGAAAAAAATCAATCCTCTTTATAATCATCAAGTGTAACATCCCAAAAACAAAACAAATCAATTGAACTCTATTTCTCTTTACAAAGGAAAAAAATCAATCCTCTTTATAATCATCAAGTGTAACATCCCAAAAACAGTGGTAGAATTTTTATTTTTCAATCATCCAATAATACAATCAATTTGTTCCAAATCAACCATAGTATAAAATATTCTCAACATCGGAGTGAAATCAAATGTAAATGCGGAATAAAATCAAGGGGATGTCGTGCGATCACGTCGGGTCCTTACCTTTCGAACTGCAAGTACCTGAAAATGTTAAACCACAAAATCGTAAGCACAATGTTTAGTGAGTTCCCCAAAATACCACATACCAACATACATTGTTATAGGCTACCCACGTGGTCTTACATATAAGTTTCATGGGGTGCCCAGATGGTCTTTCATACCATTGTCATGGTTGCCCTCATGGTCTTCCCTTGCAATGCCTTGGCTACCCCAATGTCTTACACACAAGTGTTATGGGCTACCCTTATGGTCTTTCATACAAATGCCACGGGCTACCCCTAGGGTCTTCCATACAAGTATCATAAAGAGAACTAGCATCAAACATAACATAATTCAATGGGTTGGAATTGGTGCCTTCGACCCACAAGTACAGTGAGAAGACTCACCTCAATCTGCAGACAAACAGATCTCACACTCGAGATGCCGAAACTGGAACTCCCCACACTAATCAATACACCATATGTAACATCCCGATGTTCAGGTACTTCTAGATTCATCCCTATAATTCTATTTCATTTCAGTTGGTCAAGTAGTAGCATCCTTGGGTATAATTGAGGTTTGGACACGACGTGTTGGAGGCACCAACACGACGTGTCTAGATTTGAGAAGGTGCGGGTTCTTTTTGGGCAACACGGCATGTTTCCTTTTGGAACACGGCGTGTTGACGGCTGAAAAGAAACCCTAATCTTCCGGGTTTTTCTCCCTATTTAAAGGAATGTGGAGGCTAGGGTTTGTTCACCCTCAGCCCCCATCTACCCCTCAAGCCCTGAAAGAAACCCTAATGATTTTCTCTCCCATTTGTGAAGCTAGTTTGGTGTTTTGAACCTAAAGAAGGAAGAAGGTGGAAGAAGGAAGCAAGGATCCAGCAACCAAGCCCCATTCTTCAGTTTGGCACTCTTGTAGACCTTTGTAAGTTTCCAATACCCGATTTTTATCATTCAAAGTTGTTAGATCTTGAGTTTTGTCCCTTTTTCTCCTTGTTCTTGAATGTTGCAATGGTTGGATCTCATAAAGTTTTCAACTTTATGAATCTCCAGGTCAAGGTGACCTAGTAGTGTCTTGGATCTGCTCTATGACCAAGTTTTGATGTCATGCATAGAGATTATGTAACATCCGGTTTTCCAGGTATATTATTTTAATAGTTTAAGTTTAGAATTTTGGAAGGACTCGACGAGTTGCTGCCTCAACTCGTCGAGTAGGGTCGCGACTGATGACTAGGATTAATGAGTGGACTCGATGAGTCGATGAGCCGACTCAACAAGTCAGCACTGGAGACAGAAATCCTAATTTTCTCGGTCATGGGCCTATTTAAAGGCACTTATAGCCTCATTGACACCCCCATCAGTGTCATTCGTCCCTTGAGAGAAACCCTAGAGTCACTTGTGAGCAAGAAAGGGGAAGAGGCTAATTTGAGGTCATTTCCTTGAGAAGAAGATCAAGGGTGTTGCAAGGATCTCAGAGGAGAGTTTGTGGATCAGTTTCATCTTCATTTCAAGCTTCAGATCTGGTATAAGCTCTTGCCTTCCTTGTGATTGAATTGATTTCCTTTGGTTGTGAAGTTAGGGCTTGTATCACCATTTTAATGGGGTTTTGGGTGCATCCAAACCCTTTTTCGAGTTATTCTATAGATCTGGACCTTGTGAGGTCCAGAGAACCAGAAAGTAGAAAGCCATGATTGAGTAACCTTGGAGCTTTGAAGCTTTGAAGCTTTAATGGAGTCACAATGGTATATAGAGCAATATACACCATGCATGAACCCCAAGTTCAGACCTTTACGTGACTTTTGGATGCTAGAAGGCCAGATCTATGAGTTAGAGTTCCAGATCTGACCTTAGGAGACCATATGAGTGATGCAAATGGAGACGACTTGCCGAGTCTATGAGATGACTCGACGAGTCGGATCGGGTTCGACCCAGTACCATTGACCCAGAGATAACTCGTCGAGTTGGGGGTCAACTCGATGAGCTGAGTGAATCCCTGTGAGAACAGTGAGAAATACGATTGGACTCGGCGAGTCACATGGGTGAACTCGGCGAGTCGGGTCAACCTGGTCTGTTGACTTCGTGTGTGGATCAGTTAGGAACTTTTGGGAAATCTGGAGGGGTAAAAGGGTCTTTTACCCATCCCAAGGGTTAGAGAATGAGCAAAGAGGGCTATAGTTGGAAAGAGTAAAAGTGGGTTATTAATTGATATGCTCGTTTAATGTGTTAGGTGAAGGGTAGTCCGGATTATCAAGTGTGTATCTATTTCCTACTAGTCGCGAGGTGAGTCTTCTCACTATACTTACCTTGAGTGGTAACCTACGTGTGACCAGAGGGTCTTATGTGCATACTCTGTGTTTAAGATGTCATGTTATTTGTATTGAGATATTCTATTTTTGCTTGTGATATGTATGCTATGTTTATTGGAGTATTGAGTAGAGGGATCAGAGGATCCAACCTGAGTTATGGGACCGGAGGGTCCCACTGAGACACATTGACCAGAGGGTCTTATTGAGTTACAGCCTCGAGTGGCTAATGAGCTGTGTGTGGTATTTTGGGGAACTCACTAAGCATTTATGCTTACCGTGTTATGTGTTATGTGTTTCAGGTACTTCTGAGGACCGCGAGAAGGCACCGGCATGATTGTACACCTGCATCGAGAAGGAGTGATGACCTGGGATTTTGAATAAGTGTTCTGAAAATTTTTGTGGATAATTATTACTTGAGGTTTTTGGAAAGATGTGATATGTGTTTTATATTAATTTAAAAATGAAAATTTTGGTTGGAAAAATTACGTTGTTACAAGTTGGTATCAGAGCCTTGGTTTGAGGGATTCGGATGCACCTTCGGGTACATTTGGACTCAAACTGAGGATTTGAGAAAATTTTCAAAAAAAAAGAGTTTTCTAAAAGAGAAAGAGTTTTAAGTGAAATTGAGATTGAGCAGTGTGTATAATCAGTTAGAGCCCGAACGGTGACTTCCCAAAATACCCTCACTTACTTACTTGTGTTATGAGATAATCTATGAAATAATAGTGATGCATGCTAGAGAATAGGCTAGGTATTCCATATCATAAGGCTAGGGTGCCTGACTTGTGATTCCTTAGCTTAGGAATCACGATTATTTGCTATGTGCTCTGAGTATGTGCTAATAAGAGTAGAGAATAGGAGCATTTAGAGTAAGAGATCTGAGACGAGAATAGTCTGGTATTGAGAGAGGTAGAGTGCTTGGAAATTAGAATCTTGGGAGGAGGACTTAGGGTGACTACAGGCCGGGTGTGGAAGGTAGTATTGGGCCCGTACTACTGAAAACATCTGATTTGTATGCAACCTAAGTAAGAATCCTTAGGAAGTTAAGGAACAAGTAGAGAGGAATAATTGAGTGTAAGTCTACTCGAGCTAGTCTCTGACAATTTTGTGTTATGTTTCAGAGGCATCATGGTGGGGACTCGCCACAACCCTGGAGGCAGTGGGGCTAGTTATGACGAGATACGGAGGATCATCCATGAGGAGGTGGCCGCAGACATCCGAGCAGAGATTCCTGAGATGTTTGGGTCTATTAAGACCACCTTGATCGAGACATTTGACGAGCGATATGCTGCTGTCACTGAGGCTGCTGTTGCTGCCGCCACTGCAGCTATCGCCGCTGCTAGACCTCAGGGAGGCGATTCGTTGTTGTTCCGGGAGTTTAGCAACACGAAGCCACCAGAGTTTGACGGGACTCAGGACCCGATCGCTGCGATGAGGTGGATCTTTGATATTGAGGGGTGTTTCTATACATGTTCGTGTCCAGGTCACTTGAGGGTTCGGTTTGCGCTGAACCAGCTTCGCTTGGGGGCGAAGGACTGGTGGAAGTTTGCGACCTCTAGTTTCACCTCTGCAG